CTTATTTTCTTTCTTTCTTTCTTCTTTCTTTCTCCTTCCTTCCTTCCTTCCTTCCTTCCTTCCTTCCTTCCTTCCTTCCTTCCTTCCTTTCTTTCTTTCTTTCTTTCTTTCTTTCTTTCTTTCTTTCTTTCTTTCTTTCCTTTCTTTCTCTTTCTTTCTCAAAGCTAGAGCACTATCACTTGAGGCACATCTCCACTTCTGGCTTTTTGATGGTTACTTGGATTTAAGAGTCTCAGGGCTTTTCTGCCTGGGCTGGATTTGAATCACAATCCTCAGATCTTGGCCTCCTAAGCAGCAAGGATTTTAGATGTGAGCCACTGGCCCCAGGCCATCCTAGGGTTTTCTCTCTTATGTACATGTCCACTTATCTTCTATTTTCTATCATGAGTTGAATCAGCATGAGGTCCTTACCAATTAGATGTGGCTACCAAATCATAACTATGAGTTGAATAACCCTTTTCATCTCCCTGACACTGGGGCTTGTATTCAGTTCCTCATACTTGCTCAGCTTGCTTGCTCTTGCCTGTTTTGGCAATGGAATCTCATAGACTTTTCTGTCAGGGGTGGCTTTAAACCTCACATCTCAGACCCCTGAATAGCTAGGATTACTACAGATGTGAACCACTGGTGGACAATTAGACCTTTTTTTTTTTTTTTGGGTCAGTCGTGGGGTCTGAAGTTTGAGCCTGGGCGCTGTCCCTCAGCTCTTCAGCTCAAGGCTAGCGCTCTAACACTTGAGCCACAGCGCCACTTCTGGCTTTTTGTGTTTATGCGGTGCTGAGGAATTGAACCCAGGGCCTCATGCATGCAAGGCAAGCGCTCTACCACTGAACCACCTTCCCAGTCCCCAATTAGACCTTTTTGGAAATTTTTTTTCATGGTGGCATTCAAGTTTGAACTCATGAACTCACATTTTCTGGGAAGGTACTGTACTGATGATAAATCTATTTTTAAAAAAGATGTGAATGGCAGAGTCAGAGGCATTGGACCCCATTGTTAGGGAGGACATAGGGTCAACTGTCTAGTGACTTATGGGTAAGAACACAGGCACCCTTTCCCTTTCATTTTTTCCTCTCCTCACCATTAAATCCCCCATTTTCCTATTTCGGTCATTGACATCTCCATTTCTCTTGGCCAGGCCTCTTCCTTTAGTGTGTGTGTGTGTGTGTGTGTGTGTGTGTGTGTGTGTGTGTGTGTGTATGTGTGTGTGTGTGTGTGTGTGTGCGCGCGCGCGCGCTGCCACTAAGGCTTGAGCTTAGGGCCTGGGCACTGTTCCTTAGTTTTTTCTGCTCAAGGCTGGTACTCTACCACTTGAGCCATGCCTCCACTTCTGGCTTTTTGCTGGAGATAAGTGTCTCACAAACTTTCCTGCCTAGGCTGTTTTTTTTTTTTTTGTCGGTCGTGGGGCTTGAACTCTGTGCTTGGGCGCTGTCCCTGTGCTCTTCAGTTCAAGGGGAGCACTCTACCACTTGAGCCACAGTGCCACTTCTGGTTTTCTAGAGGTTTATGGGAGATAAGAATCTCACAGACTTTCCTGCCCGGGCTGGCTTTGAACCTCGATCCTCAGATCTCAGCCTTCTGAGTAACTAGAATTATAGGCATGAGCCACCGGCATCCGGCTGTAGGCTGGGCTTACTCTGTCTTCAGATCTCAGTCTCCTGAGTAGCTAGCCGGTTTCTATCTGTAAACCTGTTTTTCATACCTGGTAGGGCACCCATATTCAGACAAGGCATTAAAGAAGGGGATGTCCCAGGGGTACAGAAGCAGCCAGTTGCAGGTCTACAACTAGAAGGCTGAGACCTGGACTCACAATCACACCGAGGAAAGTGGCTAAGGTCCATCTGGGTTAACAGATCTGTCGAGTGATACCTATTATCCTGGACCTATTATCCTGTGGGTTTCTCCTCTAATCTAACCTCTTCCTCTTGATTCATAAATAGGCCTGTGTCCAGTCCTGATAATTCTATGTCTTTGGAGGTCTTTTTAAAAAATTGCTGATCTGTGTGGTTGCTTACAAGCAGTCAGAGCCAGTATTGCCCTGGGAGGGGAGGAGGAACTGGTAGTAGTTGGGCAGAAATGGGAAGAAAGGACAGAAAGGGTTTGTTTCTCCTTGTCTCAGTGAGGAAGCACAGAGGAGGCCCTTATAATAACCCAGTGTCCTTGATTTTTCATGACCAGTCTTCTCCCTCTATGGCCTACAGAATTTCCCTCTAAAGTTCCTTAAGGAACAAAATGAGTTCTGTCCTGAAACAGTTTCAAATTCAAGTACAGCCAATCTCACTTAATCCTAACAGTATTCTAGAGATGAGAAAAGAGGCTCAGAGAGAAGTCTGATGTTTGCAGTAAGAAATGAGTTTGTAAGGCATTGGTGGCTCTGTCTGTAATTCTAGCTACTCAGGAGGCTGAGATCTGAGGGTTGCAGTTCAAAGCCAGCCCAGGCAGGAAAGTCCATGAGACTTTTTTTTTGTCAGTCATGGGACTTGAACTCTTGGCCCAGGTGCTGTCCCTCAGCTCTTCAGCTCAAGGGAAGTGCTCTACCACTTGAGCCACCGCACTACTTCAGGTTTTCTGGTGGTTAACTGGAGATAAGAGTCTCACAGACTACTTTCTTGCTTGAGGTGGCTGTGGACTGTGATCCTCAGATCTCAGTCTCCTGAGTAACTAGGATTACAGGCGTGAGCCACTGGTGTCCGGCTCCTGAGACTCTTTTTTTTTTTTTTTTTTTGGGTCCAGTCGTGGGGCCTGAACTCTGGGCCTGGGCGCTGTCCCTCAGCTCTTCAGCTCAAGGCTAGCGCTCTACCACTTGAGCCACAGCGCCACTTCCGGCTTTTTTTTTCTTTTTGCTTATGTGGTGCTGAGGAATCGAACACAGGGCCTCTGGCATGCAAGGCAAGCGCTCTACCACTGAGCCACCTTCCCAGCCCATCCTGAGACTCTTATCTCTAATTAACCACCAGAAAAACTCAAGTGGAGCTGTGGCTAAAAGTTGCAGAGTGCTACCCTTGAGCAGAAAAGCTCAGGGAGAGTGCCCAGGCCCTGAGTTCAAGCTCCATGATCAACCAGAAAACAAGAAGAAAAGAAAAGAAAAGAAAAAATGAGTTCAAGCTGGACATGGTGGTGCTCTCCTGTAATGCCAGCATTCAGGAAACTGAGGCAAAAGAATAGCAAGTTCAAGATTAGCCTAAACTATATAGTAAGACTATGTTGAGAGAGAGCGAGAGAGAGAGAGAGAGAGAGAGAGAGAGAGAGAAGGAATCGGGGAGTCCAAGCTTCTTACGTTCTACAAAAATTCTGTAGAGAGCTGGGGTGAAGCTCAATGGTAAAGCATTTGCTTAGGATGTGAAAAGCCCTGGGCACTTCAGCAGTACCTAAATAAGCAAACAAGCAAACAAAAACTACCTGGGTTTTGGCAGTACAGGCCTATAAAAGGCTGGAAAGGCAGAGATCTGAGGATCCTGGCTCAAAGCCAGCCTGGGAAGACAAATCCTTGAGACTCTTATTTTCCAATTAAACATCAAAAAATCTAGAAGTGGAGGCATAGCTTAAGTGATAGAGAACCAGAAGTGAGCAAAAAAGCTCAAGTGAGAATGAGAGGCCCCCAATGCAAGCCCAACACATACATACACACGCACACACAGAGCAAACCAATAAAAAAAACTAATCAAACAAAACCCTGTATTTGGCAATGTTCATTGCTTCCTGTTGCCCATTTCTCCCTCCTCCCTCCCTTCTTCTCCTTGCCAAACTGATATACTGACATTCCCCAGCACATACTTTATCTCCAAGTCTTCCCACCTACATTTTATTGGCTAGAATACCATAGGGTGCCCTGGTGAATTCTCTCAACCTTACAATTGGGGTGAAGGGATAATGAAATACAATAGAAGGAGTGAACTGTTTAAATGAAATATAATAGAAGGGGTGAACTTAAAGAACACTGTACGTTTGTATGGAATTATAAAAATGAAAACTTTTTTTTTTTTTTTTTGGTCGGTCATGGGGCTAGAACTCTGGGCCTGGGCACTGTCCCTCAGCTCTTCAGCTCAAGACTAGTGTTCTACAACTTGAGCCACAGCACCACTTCTGGTTTTCTGGTGGTTAATTGGAGGTAAGTCTGATGGATTTTCCTGCCTGGGCTGGTTTTGAACTGAGATCTGAAGATCTCAGCCTCCTGAGTAGCTAGGATTACAGGCATGAGCCACCAGTGCCCCGGTAAGAAAACTCCTTATAGTATCAATGTATTCCAAAAGAAAATGGAGGATTACAGGTGTTAGCCACCAGTGCCAGCTCAGAAAACTCCTTATAGTATTAATGTATGCCAAAAGAAAATGGAAAGGCCTGGCACTGGTTGGCTTATGCCTGAAATCCTAGCTACTCAGGAGGCTGAGATCTGAAGCTCATGGTTCAACGCCAATGTGGGCAGGAAAGTCTGTGAAATTCATCTCCAACTAACCACCAGAAAAGCCTAAGAGTAGAGCTATGGCTCAAAGTGGTAGGTAGAGTGCTAGCCTTGAGTGAAAAAGCTCAGGAATAGCACCTATACTGAGATCAAGCCTCATGACTGACCAAAAAAAGAAAAGAAAATGGAAGGAAAGAAGGAAGGGAAACAAAGGAAGGAGGGAAGGAGAGGGCTGTGTCTCAAATTTCCTCTCTATGGTCAGCCCTTCATATAGGGATTGTTAATGTAAGGTTCTAGTAAGTATGTACCCTTTAATTTCATTTTACTCAAGTGTTAGGCTCCAGATGGCATCAGTATGGGAATCACTTTGTCTAGTTCTTCCTTGGGAATAGGGACCAGAACCTCTGAGGGCTTAGTGGCCTTCAGGGTTCCAGACACTGGCAAATATAGGTTTATTCAGTCACTCAACAATAGGCTTGTTATGCTCTAAATTCTGTGCCAGGTGCTGGGGATCATGATGAATAGAGAAATTAATTGGAAGGTTATGGTTGAACAAATACTTAAAAGAACACTCTGAAAATCTGTAAAAGAAAAACAACAGAATTTAATCTATGCTTCCGTCCAGGTGTGCGGGTAGAAGAGCTTGTCCCAAGCTTTCCCAAAGTGAAGATTTAAGGGGATTAGATTTGTAATCTCAGACAGGGTGTCGCTTTCAGGAAGTAGGTGTGAGGCCTGAATCTTAACCGAGACCTACACCTGGACCTCTTGTTTCTTTAATTCTCAGCATGGGACCCAGGGACCCGTGGTCTGGCTAGCAGCCCACTCGCTGTCAATTGGCCCCAGGACACCCCGTAACGACTCTCTGGACTCGGGAGACCGCACCTAGACACGGGAGCCTTCGATGGATAACTGTCCTTAAGAAGGACTCCAAGTGACCTTGTTAGAAGGTGCGATCCCTTTAAAAGGAGGAGTCCGGCGGGCGCAGGCGTCACAAATCCTAAATCCAGACTGGACCTGCGCGCCTGATCCGGAGGTCCCGCCCCGCGCCCTCCCAAGGCCCCTGCTTCCCAGAGCGGCCTCGCCGGGCCCCGCCCTCAGAGGGCGGACGCTGATTGGCCAGCTCGACGGCGGGGCGGGGCTGAATCTTAAAGGACCAGGAACTAAGCAAACGGAGAAGACCGGGTGGTGGCTTCGAAACCCTGGGGGTGCGGGTGGGAGATGCCACGAAGCCCCATATGGGTTTCTTTAAAAACCCTTTAGTCTCCATACCCTAATCCCGGGACCATGGAACCCACAAGAGACTTCCCATTGTTTGGGGGCGCCTTCTCCGTCATCCTCCCTCCAGGGGCTATTGATGTCAGGTGAGAAGGTCCAGGCGCCCGTGGAGCCCGATCGGGTGGGTGGCGGGAAGAAGCTGGAGTCACCAGGGTCTACTTCGCCTCTTTCCTCTAGCGACCTTCGACCGGTTCCGGATAACCAAGAAGTGTTCTGCCACCCAGAGACCGACCAGAGCCTGATCGTGGAACTTCTGGAGCTGCAGGCCCACGTGCAGGGCGAAGCGGCTGCGCGGTGCGGGGGGCCGCCCAATGGGCGGGCCCGGGCCGAGGAAGCGGGCGGGGCCTGGGCCCGGAAGGCTTTTGTTTGTTTGTTTTGGCTTTATTTTGTTTTCCTGAAGCAGAACTTAAAGGCCAAAAAGTGAGAGACCTAGACTTCAACATGCTCAGGGGTGGGGTGGGGCGCCCAGGGGCCTTGACCCTTCTCTCCCACCCCAGATACCATTTTGAGGACGTCGGCTGGGTGCAGGAGGCTAGGATCCAGCAGGTGGAGTCGGTGCAACCCCTCACTTTGGAGAACCTGGCCCTGCGGGGCTGCTGCCAAGAAGCCTGGCTCCTCTCTGGGAAACAGCAGATAACTAAAGGGAGCCAGCAGGTGAGGGGCTGGGAGGGTAGGATGCCCTAGAAGGGTGTGTGGCTCCAAGGGTCCAAATAAACAGCCTGACTTATCCTTTTAGGTAGCAAAGGATGTGACACTCCATCAGGCTTTGCTTCGGCTGCCCCAGTACCAAACTGATCTCTTGCTCACCTTCAACCAACCCCCGTAAGGAGGCAGGAAAGGGTGGGAATGTTATGACTGGTCTCCAGATTGGGTGGGCAGAGCAGGGAGATGGGCTGGTGGGGTCCTTTTCAAGGAGGGAGGAATAGGCCCGAGGTTTGGGATCAATCCCTGTGGGTCCTAAGGAACCGGAAGTGGGATCTTCCAAACCTCAATCCTGGACGATGTTCTGTCTTCTTCTGTTTTCCCACCCACAAGCTCTGAGAACAGGTCATCTCTTGGTCCTGAAAATCTGTCACCTCCACCCTGGAGCCTGAGTAACTTTGAACAACTAGTGACCAGTCTGACCCTCCATGATCCCAACATCTTTGGTCCCCAGTAAAGATTCCTGAAGCATTGTGTGATGCTGCTGAGAATTTAGGGACCCAGTTCTGGAAGGGTGGAGGAAAAAGAGGTGAATACCCGGGGTTCCTTTTACTTCTCTGTGCATAAACATAAGACACCTCCTCTCTGCAGAAATAAACTTGCTTTATAACCAATATCATGATTGTGCCTTTGAATCTAACAGGACACCTGGTTCTTCTCAGTTCCCTTTGGTCTTGGATGGTAAAGTTTTAAAGCTGTGCGTGGGAACAAGAGGAACCTAAGGCTGGCAGTGGAAACAGGGAAGAAATCACTTTGGAGTGACTGGTTCAGCCCTGAGACGGGTGCGGAGGATACAAGGGGTTGAATGGGAAGGTTTAAAGCAACAACACCCAAAGAAAGAAAGGAAACTACTACTTGGAGTGATTCAACTCTGAGAGAATAGGTAGAGGGTGGGGTTGGCTCTCCCGCTTAGGCGGATGAAAAGACACGTGGTTTATAGTCACCAAGGCATAGTAGTAGAGGCAAAAGTATGTGAGAAAGTGTCAATTTGGTGGCACGTGCGAGAGCCGCTGTTATTTAGTGTATGTGTGGTAGAGAAAGCGCAGCTGGTCCCAGAAGAAGAGGGAGAGGATGGTGTGGGGCCCAAGGCGGAAGTAGGAAGCACCTATACCCTTGTACATGCCCCAAATGCCCTCTGTCCGAGCTGTCTGCAGCAGAGCGTCCAGGATTCCCCGGTACATGAGGCCCTGGACATGTTGGAGGGGAAGGAGCTTGTCAGAGTCCAGCAGCGGTCTCATCTCTGCAGACTGCATTTGAGGCTCTCCCTTCTACACCCACAGTCTGCTGCTCCCTGCCCCCCTCCCAGATTTGCCTGCCTGTCTGCACCCCAAAGCACTCCCTTACCTTGCCATGAGCATCTGTGGGTTGGTTATAGAGCCTGGTACTGGCCACATCGAATGGTGTCATGGCCATGACTACTGCAATGCCACTCACCATGGCAGCGGCCAGAGCCACTTTCCAGCTCTGGGGAGGAAAGATCTACAGGAGAGAAAAGCTTAGTCAGTTTTTGTTTTTTGGGGGAAGTCCAGTTGTGGGGCCTGAACGCTGGGCCTGGGCGCTGTCCCTCAGCTCTTCAGCTCAAGGCTAGCACTCTACCACTTGAGCCACACTGCCACTTCCCACTTTTTTCTTTTTGTTTATGTGGTGCTGAGGAATCGAATCCAGGGCCTCTGGCATGCAAGGCAAGCGCTCACCACTGAGCCACCTTCCCAGCCCCGCTTAGTCAGTTTTATAGTGAATTATTCATCTCCTAGGGCAGGACAGGCCCTGCTTCTACCCTACTAGTATGATAACAGTATGTGGGAGGAAGTTCAGCATGCTCTGAGGGCTCCAGTATCCCTTTCTACGTGGAAGTGACTAGAGAATCTTGGGAAGAACCTGAGAAGTCAGTGAACCCCAAACTCTCCTATTGCTTGTTCCCTTCCTTACATCTGAATGTTGACACCCTCCCCTCACCTCCCTTGGCCCAACCCCTATCCCATTCCCAGGAAGGTCCCACCCCTTCCCAGGAAGTACCTCCCACTGGCTCAAGAGGTCCTTGGTGGATGAGAAGGTGCACAGCTGGGTAGAGGAACCGACGGCAACTCTGGGCAGGCCTCCCAAGGCCCCACGCCATAACCCCATCAGACCATGTTTCTGGCCAATGTCCGTTAGTGCCTGAAACATGCCCTGGTGGGGGGAAGACCATGGGGGTGGGGTTCAGTCACCCCAGCATCAGGGGCTGTCACCACTATCACTGGCAAGGATCAGTCTTTAATAAGCACCTATTGTCCAAACAACCAATTCGATGTGGGCTTAGAGCCCGAGAATATGGGCCTTCAGTATTTGCCACACGTCCCCATCCCAGAGTAAGGGCTGAAGTAAGAGGGAAGTGAGGACATTAGTAGAGCCAAGAGAATGAGGCAGGAGAAATGGGCAGAAGGGTATGTGAGGGTCCAGGTGGGTCTGGATTAATGTTATTGGATAGAATAGTGGTCAGGGTTGGAGCGGCTGGGGGCAGGCAGAAAGCTGGGGGGAAAAATGGGAGAGGGTAGTCAGGTATAATGGTTTGGGGAACCCTCACCTGGTGCTTATACTGGTGCCCTACGGCAATTTCAGAGGCTGCTTGTGCCTGTAAGTGCGTCTTCACCTGGGGAAGAGAGAATATTACAACTTGTACCCCAGTGGCCACTGGCCACTGCCATTGCCACAGGCCATTGCCTGACCCGCTCCCCTTATACTTCTTCCAGGGTATTAAGCAATGAACACCCCCCCCCCCCTTTAATCTGATAATTATTGTTGTTCCCACTTAGCAGATTGGTCTTGAGACTCTGTGTCCCTTGGCTGCAGTCCCAAGGGATAGATCTCCTAGCACTGCAAGATACCCTGCCCCCTCCAATTCCTCCTTCTCCTGGGGCTGAGGGGTGGGGGTGGGGTGGAGAGGTTGGAGAATGACATTTCCTAAGACTGGTTGTTAAGCAAGACCTGGGTTCTGTGCCTCTTATGCCAGTTCCCATTCTCAGGTCAGATTTCCAGCTACCACCTCAATCAGATTCCCCTCTTAGACTCTGGCCACCGTGAACTTTCTAGCTACCAGGGTCCATAGGGGCAGATGATCAGCTGACTTTGAAGAGGCCACTGTCTCTAAATTGAATACCTTAGAAGTGAGACTAAGTGGGCTTTTCCACAAAATGCACTGCTTCTCACTCTCTTAACTACACTAAGCATGGCCTAGCCTCAGCAATAAATAGCTGTGTGACCTTGAAGCGGTCACTTTCCCTCTCTGGGCCTCATGTTCCCAGCCCTTGACCTATAGCTAATAATTCAAAAGAGTACACTGTGAAGTTGTAATTCTGGGGTACCCTGGCCTTCCAGATCCCTATAATCACTGATACATGTTACTCAAATCTTCAGCTTCCCCTCCACAAATCCAACCTAAATAAATAGCATAAAACATTAGCAAAAGGAGGCTGGGAAGGGATGTGAAGGGTAAACAAAGGAGGAGGCTGCAATGCTTGGTAAGAAATGTACGCATTATCCTGCCCATGTAATTGTCACCCCTCTGTACAGTATGTTCGCAAATAAAATTAAATTAAATTAAAAAAAACATTAGCAAAAATAATAAAAGCAGTACTATTAAATGCTTATCTATGCCAGGATTTGTGCTAGTGTCCTCATTTGTCTCCCTCAGTGCTCCCTAGGGTCACAAAAAGGTTGCTGCAATTATCTCAATTTCACAGGTGTGGCAATTGAAGAATTGAAGTTCAACAATGAATAATTCTCCTCTCTCTCTCTCTCTCTCACCAGGGCTTGAACTCAGGGCCTGGGAGCTGTCTCTTAGCTTTTTTGCTCAAGGCTAACACTCTACCACTTGATCCACAGCTCTACTTCACTTTTTCGGTGGTTAATTGTTTTGTTTTTGTTTTTTTTCTTTTTGTTGGTCATGGGGCCTGATCTCTAGGCCTGGGCGCTGTCCCTCAGCTCTTCAGCTCAAGGCTAGCACTCTACCACTTGAGCTACAGCACCACTTCAGGATTTTTCTGCTTATGTGGTGCTGAGGAGTGGAACCCAGGGCTTCATGCATGCGAGGCAAGCGCTCTACCACTGAGCCACCTTCCCAGTCCCTTAGTAGTTAATTGGAAGATAAGAGTCTCACAGACTTTCCTGCCTGGGCTGGCTTCAAACAGTAATTCTAAGATCTCAGCTTTTGAGTAGATAGGATTATAGGTGTGAGGCACTGGCACCCAGCTACAGTGAGTAATTTTCAAATTCAAGCTATGTGTGCCAGGAAGACTGATTCCCATAATCTTGACTGAAGTCCATAATCTTCTTCAACATATCTGACTATTTGCACTGTTTGGGTGTGCACAGAGAAGATCAGAAGGCCTTAACAACCTACCAGCAATTTTGTAATACTCTCCCCTTCTTTGCAAGGGGACAACACCCTGCCACTTGCGCTCTCGTGAAGGACCAGACCCTCACTCTACCCCAAGGTTCTGCCCCTGAGGACCCCAGGTAAGACCACCTCTTTCTCCTTACCATGTAGATGGGACTCCCCAGATAGGCTCCCATGATTCCAGCCAGGGCCCCAGCTGCTGCGCTGTGGACAGGACTCAGGGTGCCATCAGCTGTGTGCAGGTAGCCCTTAGCCTCAGCTAGCCCATAGGTGCCTAGGCGGATGCCATTCATCAGGAATTGGTATAAGAGCGCAGGCGCCAGGCCTTTCTGTAGTGCAGCCAGGCCATCCACCTTGCCGATAGTGAAGAAAGCGTGGAAGACATTGCGGTAGTGTCGTTGGTAGGTGCCCGGGGCCTGCAGTTCTCCCTGCAGTTGCATTCTGGTTTTTACAACCTCCAGGGGATTGGTGAACACACAGGCCCCACAGGCTGCTAGACCGCTCATCAAGAAGTCCATGGTGGGACAGCAGTTGGCCAGCAAAGGGAAGCAAGGGAGCAGGCTTGAAGTCAGGGGAAGACTTGGTTTCTGCAGCCCAGGCTGCAAGAAGTAAGAATTTAGAGGTTTCAAGTTAAGTGTCAGGGTCAAACGTCAAGGAGTGAAGGGTTAGTTCGAATTCGGGAGTCAGAAACTGGCTTAGAGAGAGAGAGGAGTGTAGGAGAGTCTGGCGAGGTTATGACGGGTCCCTGGCGGTCAAGAGCTGTGGAGTCAAGGAAGGGCAGAAGTCAGGAAGGAGGTGGCAGGAGGTGACAGGTGGGATGCACGGGGTTAGCCGCGGGGAGCCGGGGAGTCGCAGGAGGAAACGCAGAGCCGGGATGTGAAAGGTGATGAGGCAGGGGGAAAGAAAGCCCACAGGAGAAAAAGGATCCGCGATCCGCAGGTGTCCTCGAGAAAGTCACCGGGCTGGATCGAGAGAGAAGTCGGGACCCCGGCTCGGGGTGAGCTTTCCAAGGAGCTACTAGCGCCCGAGCACCGCCGGTGTAGTCTTGGGGAGGCCGGGCCGCCACACTCCTGGCACCGCACCGCGGCGCCAATGGGGATTCTCTGACAGCTGCAGCGGGAGCCTCAGCCAATCAGCGCAGAGACAGTCGGCAGCCAATGGGAGGAGCCTTCGGCAACCTCGCTCCGGAACCGGTGACGAACCTTTCGGGATTAACTCTCCCCACCCCGGGGCTGGGGGAGGCTGGAAGGGGGCGGGCGGCCCTACGGCGCTGTGCAACCGCGCGCGCGCGCGCACCTGGGCGCACTGGGCGGGTTTGTTTCTGGCGGGGAGGAGGAGTTGGATCTGGGGCGCAGAAGCAGCAGTACCTCGGGGGTACCCACCCTGAGGTTCTGTCTTCCTCGGTGCATCTCGGGGTGGGCGGTCTAAATGTGTCGACGCCCACCTCCAGCCAACCGGGAAGCTACGTCCCCAGATGGGACACAGCTGCTGACTTGCCACCCATCTCCTAAGACTAAATAAAACGTTCTAGGGTTCTAGCGCCAGGAGTGTGGTTGTGCCTGAAGGGAGCTGCATTCCCATTTGGATTCCTTCGGTCGTGAGGCTTGAACTCTGGGCCTGGGCGCTGTCCCTCAGCTCTTCAGCTCAAGGCTAGTGCTCTACCACTTGAGCCACAGCACTACTTCTGGTTTTCTGCTGGTTAATTGGAGATCAGAGTCTCGTGGACTTTCCTGCCGGGGCTGGCTTTGAACTGTGATCCTCAGAGCTCAGCCTCCTGAGTAGCTAGGATTACAGGCATGAGCCACTGGCGCCTGGCATCTGAGTCATTCCTTTTGTATTTTGCTTTTTGAGACAGGATCTCACAAGGTAGATACTGACAGAGGACTGAAGTGAGGAAGGAATGGGAACTTGGAGGCAGAACATCTGGCTGTGTGTGTGTGTATGTGTGTGTGTACATTTGTACTGGAGCTTGAACTCAGGACCCCAGTCTGTCCTTTAGCTTTTACACCTATGGATGTTGCTCCACCATTTGAGCCATAGCTCCACTTCAGCTTTTTGTTACTTAATTGGAGATAAGAGCCTTACAGACAGGCTGGGATCTAAGGATTGAGGTTTGAAGCCAGCCCAGATAGGAAAGTCTGTGAGCCTTTTATCACCAATAAGCTAACTCAGAAAAAGCCTGAAGTAGTACTGTGTCTCAAGTTGTAGAGCCTTGAGCAAAAAGAAGCTCAGGAGGGCTGGGAAGGTGGCCCAGTGGTAGAGTGCTTGCCTTGCATGCATGAGGCCCTGAGTTCGATTCCTCAGCACCACATAAGCAAAAAGAAAAAAGCTGGAAGTAGCGCTGTGGCTCAAGTGGTAGAGCGCTAGCCTTGAGCTGAAGAGCTGAGGGACAGTGCCCAGGCCCAGAGTTCAGGCCCCATGACCGGACACCCCCCCCCCCAAAAAAAAAAAAGAAGCTCAGGGATAGTGCCCTGGCCCAGAGTTTAAGCCCCAGGATTGTAATAAAAAAGAAAAAAAGTCCACAGAATTCCTGCTGGTCGAACTGTGATCCTTACATCTCAGCCTTCTGGGTAGCTAGGATGTCAGGTACTAGACTGAACATCTTTTTTTTTCTTTTGGGTCCGGTCGTGGGGCCTGAACTCTGGGCCTGGGCGCTGTCCCTCAGCTCTTCAGCTCAAGGCTAGTGCTCTATCACTTGAGCCACAAGCACCACTTCTGGGTTTTTTTTTGCTTATGGGGTGCTGAGGAATCAAACCCAGGGCCTCATGCATACATGAGCCACTCTACCACTGAGCCACCTTCCCAGCCCTAATATGGTTCATTATTATGTAGATACATTATTATTAACTTCGAGTTTGGGGGTATAGATTAGTTGCACGCAACAGGCTCTAGGTTCAATCCCCAGCTCCAGATAAACAAATAAACAAACATTATTGCTTGACATATGGATAGCTCATGTCAGTAATCCTAGTCACTCAGGAGGCTGAGATCTAAGGATCATGGTTCAAAGCCAGCCTGGGCAGGAAAATTTCTGAGACTCTTGTCTCCAATTAATTACCAAAAAGCCAGAAGTGGAGAACATTCTGGTCCTTACTTCAAGTCCAAGTACTGGCACACAGACACAGACACACACACACACACACACACACACACACACACACGTTACCAAAACAGGAGAATACAAGAAACAAAGTTTATTAGGAGAAAGTGAGGGAAGGATGGTATTGTCAAAAAAGAAATGTACTTTATAGCCAGCTGCTTGTGGCTCTTGCCTGTAATCCTAGCTACTCAAGGGGCTGAGATCTGAGGATCACAGTTCAAAGCCAACCCAGGCAGGAAAGTCTGTGAGACTCTTATCTCCAATTTACTACCAAAAAAAAGAAGTGGTGTTATGGCTCAAGTAGAATCCAACCCAGGGCCTCATGCATGCAAGATAAGCACTCTACCACCGAGCCACCTTCCCGTATTACAAGACACTTTAGGCTCATTTTATATATTTTTTTGTCTTTCCCTGTCCCTCCATTCTACCATCAGCCATTTTCCCAAGATGTCCTATTTCCCTTTCTTGGGGAATTTTTTTTTTTTTTTTTTTGGGTCCAGTCCTGGAGCCTGAACTCTGGGCCTGGGCGCTGTCCCTCAGCTCTTCAGCTTAAGGCTAGTGCTCTACCACTTGAGCCACAGCGCCACTTCCGGCTTTTTTCTTTTTGCTTATGTGGTGCTGAGGAATCAAACCCAGGGTCTCATGCATGCAAGGCAAGCGCTCTAACACTGAGCCACCTTCCTAGCCCCTCTTGGGGAATTTTTAAAAAATGTCTTTTATTTTGTGTGTGAGATAGGGTTTCACTACGTTTCCCAGGCTGGTTTCAACTTCCTGGGCTCAAGTAATCTTCCTATCTCAGCTTCCCAAATAATTGGGACTTGGCCTCGGGAACTGTTTTAGAAACCAAGATCTGGATAGTAGGTGTGCTTGTAGCATTTAGGTGTCATTGTTTCTAGAGAGCAAGGAAACACCTGTGTATATATTAACCCATGAATATATACTCACAGGTATTTCTATATGTAATCACTCACATCTCTATTTCCCTAAACATGAATTTGTAATGATGTCTCCAACTCTGATCTAGCTACTCACTCTCTTATCTATGAACAGTAGGAAACCTGGCTCTCATCACTTACCATCCATTCACTTAGTTGTTTAATGCTTAACTGACAATAAGGACATCAGAGTTATTAACTCATATCTGTGTGGGAAATGTTCTTGTTAACTAGAATACATGCTACATGCAGTTCCATTGCTTTTTTGTTGTTGTTGGTCATGGGGCCTGAATTCTGGGCCTGGGCGATGTCCCTCAGCTCTTCAGCTCAAGTTTTTGTTGGTCATGGGGCTGAACTCTGGGCGCTGTCCCTCAGCTTTTCAGCTCAAGGCTAGTGCTCTACCATTGAGCCACAGCACTACTTCCAGCTTTTTCTGCTTATGTGGTGCTGAGGAATAGAACCCAGGGCCTTATGCATGTGAGGCAAACACTCTACCATTGAGCCACTTCCAAGCCCCAGTTCCATTTGCTCTTGATCTGATTAACTTTTATTTCCAGAGTTGCTATGGTCAGCACTGTTCCCATCAACTCCTTTAAGAAAAGATATTTTAGGATGCAAATACCACTTAGTGGTAGAGTGCTTGCCTAGCATGCATGAAGCCCTGGGTTCCATTCCTCAGTACCACATACACAGAAAAAGCCAGAAGTGGTGCTGGGGCTCATTTGGTAGAGTGCTAGCCTTGAGCAAAAGAAGCTCAGGGACAGTACCCAGGCCCTGAGTTCAAGTCCCAGGACATGCCAAAAAAGACAAGAAAAGAAAAGAAAAGGTATTTTTATACAATTATAATATCATTAGGTTTTCCTTTATGTTTTTAGTGCTGGTACAGGGGTTTAAACTTCACACCTCCAATTCTGTTTTGGTTATGGCTTCCTTGCTCACAGCTGGTAATGTGCTATTTGAGCCATGCCTTTGGTCTGTTATTTTTTTTTTTTTGGTCCGGTCGTGGGGCCTGAACTCTGGGTCTGGGCGCTGTCCCTCAGCTCTTCAGCTCAAGGCTAGCACTCTACCACTTGAGCCACAGCGCCACTTCCCGCTTTTTTTTCCTGCTTATGTGGTGCTGAGGAATCGAACCCAGAGCCTCAAGTATGCAAGGCAAGCGCTCTACTACTGAGCCACCTTCCCAGCCCTTGGTCTGTCATTTTGCTGGTTAATTGATTTGTTTGTTTGTTTTTACCAGTCTTAGGGCTTGAACTCAGGGCCGTGCACTGTCTGAGCTTTTTAGCTCAAGATTTTGAGTCACAGTGCCACTTCCGGCTTTTTCTATTTAGGTGGTGCTGAGGAATTGAATCCAGGCCTTCATGCATGCTAGACAAGCACTCCACCACTAAGCCACATTCTCAGCTTTGTTGGTTAATTGATTATTGAGTTTCCTAGACTTTTCTGCCCAGACTGGCTTCTGAGATCCTTCAGGTCTTGGCCTCCTGAATAGTAGAATTATTTTAGGCATGAGCAATTGGGGTCAGCATGGTTAGTGTGTGTGTGTGTGTGTGTGTGTGTGTGTGTGTGTGTGTGTATGTGTATGTTTGTGCGTGTGTGTGCGTGTGTGCTGGTGGTCCTGGGGCCTGAACTTGGGGCCTGAGTGTGGTCCCTGAGCTTTTTAGCTCAAGGCTGGCACTCTGCTACTTGAGCCATAGCTCCATTACCTGATTTTTGATGGTTAGTTTGAGATAGGAGTTTCATGGACTTTCCTGCAGAGGCTTGGT